ACACTTCACAACAGTGGGACAGAGCCCTGGTGGTGCATTGGGTTAAGTGCTGTTGGGCTGCTAACTTAAAGGTCAGCGGATGGAGCCCCCCAGTCACTCTGAGGGAGAAAGATGATGACGTGGTTGGACAACCTTGGAGACCCAGTGGAGCCGTTCTCTGTTGCCGGGGTTGCTATGAGTCAGAATCAATTTGATGGTCATGGGGTTTGGTGAGGGTGGCGTAAACAGTGAAGCAGTCCAGTGCTAATCAAAGGTTGGTGGATTGCACCCACCAGCGGGCTCCTCGGAAGAAAGGCCTGGTGATCTCCTGAAAGGCAATAGCCCTCCGTCTCACATGGAGACGCCGGCAGTCAGAATCAGCGCAGAGACATTTAGTATGGTGTGTTTTTTGTTTGTTTTTAACCCAATTCTTTGCACTTTGGAGCTTTTCCCTCTGTCTCCCTCCTAAGAAAGGAGACTCACATTTGTAGGGCCTTTTGCAGTAATGCTGAGCTACCTACAGGCCTTTAAGACTGGGACCCAGGGCACTGAGGACAGATAGAAAGCCAGGCCTCAGTTTTCTCTTCTCCAGAGGATGATCTTTGTTAAATCTCTGTTCTCTATAACACATACGCCAACAGGGGCGACTTTAACAAACAGAAACATATTCCCTCACAGTTTCAGAGGCTAGAAGTCCGGATTGAGAGTTCTGGCTCTGGGGAAAGGCTTTCTCCGGGAGAAGGTCCTCGTCTCTTCAGCTTCCTGGTCCCATGGAGAGCTCCATGTGTCTTGTCATCTGTCTTTCCCTCCCTGCCGTCTCTGCTTTGCTCACTTGTTTTTAATTGCTCTTATATCTCCAAAGAGTTGACTCATAACACATCTTATACTAACCGACAACAATGACACACTATGGAGGTTTGGATTTACAATACGTGTTGTGGGAGGGACACAATTTAGCCCATAACAAAGTCTGTGATGACTCTGAATGCAGACAGGCCAGCGAGAGCCCCCTCCCCCACCCTCCACCCCCCAGTTGTCCAGGGTCTACAGAGCACTTAAGGTTTTGTTTTCACATTTGAATTGGGTCTAAATATGCATAACAGAACCCAGACTTTCTGGAACCATAGAGACTAGATGGAACCACCCCCCAAACTATTGTCTGGAGATAATCTTTGAAGCTTAAACCAAAAGTATCTTCTAAAGTCTTCTTAAAACCAAGCAGTTGTTGGTCTCAACTAGTAAGAGACATCTACCACGAGCATGGTGCTCAATTCAGTTTCTGTCTGTAAGGGATACAATTGATAATTCAGAATACGAGATAGGATACTGGGGCGGGGGGGAGATGCTCGTGGGGGAGGGACGGCTCAGGAGGGTGAGAACAGTTGCAAAACTCTAAGAGCGCTGTCCAAGTCACTGAACTGTCCATCAGAGACTGTCGAATTGGTGTGTGTTCTGCTATACCAATTATGAAAGAGAAAATCCCCGTAAGACGAAATTGACCATTTCCACTATTTAAAAGAGTAATTCCATGGTATTTGACACTTTCTGTGTTACTCAGGTATCACCCCTCGTTCCAGAGTTTTCTCATCTCTCTAAAAGGCGCCCCACCCCAAGTCTCTGAGAACTACCAGACTGCTTTCACTCATAGTTTTTGACATTGGCCATTGGAGTCTCACACCATGCGGTCGAGTGTGACTTCCTCCCCTCACAAGGATTTCATCTCCTTCCGGCTGAATTATAATCCAGTCTGTGGGCACATCATGGGCCCCACACAGGTGGTTTCCAGCTTTGGGCTCTGTGACTAGTGTTGCTACGGAACCAGCTGGCTGGCTGGCTTGTGTTGGTTCCTGACTTAAAGGCTTTCATCTCCCGCAGCCTCCCTCTCCTGATGCCCTTTTTTCTCACCCTGTGTCCTCCACATCCCTGACCCAGAGTTTAAGGCACTGGATGCCCATCAGGGGCCTCCCACCCATCCCATCCACCACCTACATGTCAGATACCCTCTTTTTCCCTGAAAGGAATCTAAACTTTAGGAGTAACTTTCCACTAAACTGGAGGGAAACGTGGTCTGAGACCAGAGAGGGGAGGGTCAAGGCAATTAGGGCCCTGGAGAGCTCTTTCATAAACAAAGTCTCCCCTTCCATGAAAATTACTAATTAGATTCCCAAAGTTGAGTTTTGATTGTCGGGTTTATTGTCCAAGGCATATGGTGGTGCTAAACATTTAAGGTGGGGGTCATCATGGGCCACTGGGAGCCTACAGAGCCATGGGTACAGACAGCAGATAAGGTCCCTGCTACCAGGAGCCAAAGTTGTTCCTGTGTGTCCATTGCCCAGTTGTTTGTTTCCTCATTCATTCATTCATTCATTCACTCACAACTCAGCAAATCCAGATTGAGCACCAACCTGGGCTGGTCCTATTCTAGGGGTGGGAGAGAGGGTGGGAGGCCAAACCACATGGCCCCTGCCCTGGGGAGGTTCAACCAGCTTCCACCCCAAGAGCTGAGGACAGAGGTAAGGAGTGGTCAGCCCCCAGTTTGGTTGCAAATGCCCCCTGCTCTCACATATACATTCAGCCACACACAACCACCCCCACCCGAAAAAATCTGACATTACAAATAGAAAATCTTTTGCAAGAGCAGTGCACATTTCCAAATTTCCTCTCCTTATCTGTGGCGCTTGCCCCAAACACGAGCTAGATGGTGTAAATATTACTTCATCTTAATTGATAACATTTGGGAACTGGCGGCAGCAATGCCTTACCACCCCCTCGTGGCGGACTCCCTGGCGGTGATCGAGTCCTCTGTGGGGCTCTTCGGGGCACAGGGCTTGGGCGCTTGTGCATGCCAGGGCTGGGCTTGGTGCTAGACCTGCAGTCGAGGTATGTGACGGCTTTGTGTGGAACAAATTACTATGTTTCAATTCAGAGTCCAGTATTCATAGCAGTTACTCTCTGTATCCCTATCTCAGCCTGGAGGGGGCCTTCCCCACCACGCTGGGCCCCCAGTTCTGCCTGCCTGGAGGAGACAGTGGGGGTGTGGTGCAGGTTGGACACCAGCTCTCGGCTATGGACGGTGGAGTTGCTGGGTGGAGCTTGTTCAGGAAGACGCAGGCTACCCCAGGACTGGTCAGATGTTGCCCCTCCCATGTGAGGCCTTTGGGGCGGTGCCTGGAGGTGGCCTGGTCCTTGTGCTTGTGTCTTGAAGCTACTTGAGGTCTTAGAGATTCTCCAATCCAGCTGTTTCATGGTCACGAGGGAAATGAGAGGAAACCGGTACAACAGTGTTGGGACACTGGACCTCCAAAAGTCTTGTTACTAATTTATTCCCTGACTGTAGGACCTTCTACCTTGCTGCTGATCTTAAGGGGCCTACAAATGGAGGTGCTAGTCTTTCAAACTTGGTTTCACTCTGTCCATCCTCTGTCTGCTTGCTGTCTGTCTTTCCTTCATCCCTTGTAACTCAGGTATTAACCTGGCACCCTTGTTTGTCCAAACTCCTTAGGTCCCACCCTTCCTCCCCGAAAGTGCTCTCCCCAGAGACAGTGTGTGGAGCGGTCTTAGCTCGAGATGAAGTTAGAGACAGAGCAGTCTAGAATACATCTTGAGGCTGAATCATAGTCCAACCATCATTAGACGACTCTTCCCTGTTCCTTCATAGGGAGCTACCCTGAGTCTTTAGTACTGGACTCCGGCCTCTGGCCATCTTGCCTTCTCTGACCCCTAGCCTACTTGTCTCCTCCAGGCTTAGCAATCCCTCTCTGTTTCTGGGGTCACCTAGTGGAGCCATCTCTCTGTCCAGCCTCATCTATTTAGGCCTTTCCCAGAAACAACCTCCATTTCTTTCAGTGACGTGTCCACCGGATATTGTGAGTGCAGGTCATCTAATGCCCAGGCAGGGGTCCACAACTGCACAAAAGGCATGCAGGGTAGGGGTGAGCTCAGAACCTGGGATATGGGACCAGGAGACTTGGCTGTGAATATCAGCTTGGCCACAGTCCAGCCACGTGGTTGTGGGTGAGCCCTGAACTTGCCCTAAATCTTGGGTTCCTTACCTCTGGACATGCTTTGCAAAGCCTGGCCTCCCTCATCCCACGTGTATGCCATCTGTGTTCTTACTTGGGGGAGGAGGGCGGAGAGCAATGGAGTTCCTGATTAAGCACTTCTGAGCTCCATGTGTGGGCTGGACCGTCTGCTGGGCACTACGGGCCTGTGTGCAGTTCTGAGACTCCTGTCATGGCACTAGTGCTGGGCTGGACAAGGTCGGGAGGGAAGGGAGGGAAACAGGCTGCCATAGGCAAGGGACCTTCCTGAGAGAGGCAGGTGTTCCCTGGTTAGAAAGGGTCATTTCAGATGGTCAGAGGGACCTGAAGATTGCTCCTGCTGCCAGGGACCTTGTCTGTCTCAGGGGTGCTCCTGGTGGGCAGGGCTCCAGGTACCCCCACCCCTTACAGACCTGGGCCCAGGCCTGCTGCACTCTGTGTGAATGGGTAATGGAGTCCCCCACTCTGAGTGGGTTAAAAGGTCCCTGCTATGAGTGGCTTATAGGGTCTCCAGTCTGAGAGGTGATGGGGTCCCGTGGTGTGAATCGATTTTCTGCAGAGTGCCTTGGTCTGTTTGAGTTACGAGGTCCCCTGATCTTATCAGGTCTCGGGGGTCCCCAGTGTGACTGTTATTGGATGTCCAGTCTCAAGGGCTATGGGACCCCATCTGAGTAGCTCATAGAGTCTCCCCACTTGCTTGGGTCACAATGTCCCCTGGTGTGAGTGGATTATAGGATCTCCAGATTGAGGGGCTGTGGGGTACCCCAGTGTGAGTGGATTATAGGATCTCCAGACTGAGGGGCCATGGGGTACCACAGTATGAACAGATCACAGGGTGTCCAGTCAGAGGGTCTATGGGGTACTCCATCTGAGCAGGCCACGGCTCCTCCAGTTTGAGTGGGTCACAGTGTCCCCAGTGTGAGTGGATTAAAGGGTCTCCATCTGAGTTGGTCAGTCTGAGCAGTCACCGTGTCCTCACAGGAGATTGTCCTGGTGGTGTTCTTCGGCACAGAATACGTGGTGCGCCTCTGGTCAGCTGGCTGCCGCAGCAAATATGTGGGTGTCTGGGGGCGTCTACGTTTCGCCCGGAAACCCATTTCCATCATTGGTGAGTTAAGTCTCTTGGGAGCAGGGTGCCCCCCCCCCAGGACCGTCACTGGGTGGTTCCTGCTGAAGCCCCAGGCTGCCCTCTTGGGTCAGGCAGGACATGGGGCAGAGGGGTGCCCAGCACAGGTGCCACTGTGCATAGGGGCCGTCTCTGCCCAGCTCTGGACGTGTCTGAGCTGTTGTGGTTCATACCGAGAACCCTTGGGGTGCAAGCAGCACCTGGGCCCAGGCCCAGGCTGGGTGTGATAGCCTCTCTACCCACCCAGGGTCTGGCCTGGCTTCCCTTCAGGATGTCTCTGTGTCCCTGGTCCTGGGCTGGATGGGTCAGTAATACTGTGACCAGCAGCCTCCCTCTCTCTTCCTGCAGACCTCATTGTGGTTGTGGCCTCCATGGTGGTCCTCTGTGTGGGCTCCAAAGGACAGGTGTTTGCCACCTCAGCCATCAGGTAGGCCCAGGCTGCCTGAAGCCCCCACTCCCCTCTCCTGGTCTGGGCACTGCTGTCCCTTAGATAGCTCCAGTGCCTGAGCAGGGAGTAACTAGGGACAGGGGACACCCAGGATCAGGAGGCAGCCTTATATGAGCAGGGAGCTGGGGCCATAAGGCTACCCCTCCCATGGCCAGGCCTTGGAAGACCCTCCTGCCTCCATGAGCTCCCTGGTGGTCAGTGTGGTTCCAAGGCCAGTACAGGCCTAGATAGTCTGAGGGCCAGCACTGTCTGACATCCTATTAATCAGCTCCCTGACCCCCGGTTCCGTAACATGGGCAGGGCGTCCTGTGTGGCCCATGCAGCTGGTCTCTGACTCGGGCTACCCTCTCAGAGGTGCCCTCATTCTATGCCCCCTTTCCTCATCACACGGAGCTCATAGGCAGGTGTCTGAGGCGCTGTGCCCTCTAGCCCCTCGCTCCCTAACGGAGAAGTGCAGTCACTCTTGTCATCTGCAGATGGGGTGTGACCCTGGGGCCCTCCATGACCTTCTGTGGCCTCCCAGAGCTGGGGTGGTATGGGCTTAGCAGGGTGGCCAGACCCTCTGATGGGGGAATAGAGGATGCAAGGGGAGGGGGCAGGGAAGAAGCTTTGACCACTTCCCTGGGCTTGGGGAGCAGAATTCAGAGGCACCAGGGCTGGGTGCTAGCCTGGGTGACGCAGGGGGAAGGACATGGGTGGGGGGCCTCCTCACACGTCCCCTCTCCCACCCCCTCCACAGGGGCATCCGCTTCCTGCAGATACTAAGGATGTTGCATGTTGACCGCCAGGGCGGCACCTGGAGGCTGTTGGGTTCAGTGGTCTTCATCCACCGGCAGGTGTGGCTGGTGGGGTGGGCAGGGCAGACCCAGGATTGGGGCGGGGCAAAACCAGGATTGGGGCGGGGCAGACCCAGGGTGTGGCCGGCAGGGGAGCACGGGGCAAGGGAGGACTCCTTGGGAAGAGGGGGTCACCCACCTCTGCCCCATCAGGGTCCCAGGAACGGATCCACTCTCAGGCCTCTCTTGAGTGGGAGAGATGTCCGGTTGTTAGTGGGGAGTCTGTGATCCATCCGTACCACGTGGACACACCCTGGTCCCCTGGCACTGGGGGTCTGGTGGGCACGCCTATGGGGTGTCCGACCACTCCGTGACTATTTGGATTTACTGCACGGTCGTCTCAGGAGTGCCCACCACCTTGAGGAGCTGACCAGCACCTCCGTCTGCCCGCAGGAACTGATCACCACGCTATACATCGGCTTCCTGGGCCTGATCTTTTCCTCCTACTTCGTGTACTTGGCTGAAAAGGATGCGGTGAATGAGTCGGGCCGCGTGGAGTTCGGCAGCTACGCGGACGCGCTTTGGTGGGGCGTGGTGAGTGGGGTCCCCGGTGGGCCACGTGGTCCAGGTGCCATGGGATGGCTTTTGCATCATCGATGCCACCTATACAGAGAGCATGCATACAAGCGATTCCACTTGGAACCGCCACCAGGGCAGACACAAGACTGGCAAGGCCGTGTCAAAGGTTGGAGCTCTGTGGGCATGTCGGGATATTCTTTAATATTTGTATCATGGAGCTTGAAAAAAATTATTACAATTTTCTGCTCCCCAGCTGCCCAAAACCTTCCAGTGGCACCATGAGCAGCCCCCTCCAGCTATTCTCTGCACCTCCCTGACATGCCCCCAGAACCGCGTCCCTGACCTGAGGTGGGGGCTGGATGTGCGTCTTGGTGAGAAATGTCTCAGACTCACCCAGTTCTGCCCCTCCTCCCAGGGGCATTGGCTGGGACCCCAGGGGGCACCCTACAGGGCCCTGTGGGTGTGGACTTTGCTGGTGGTCAGAACAGACTGCCCATGGGGCTATAGCAGTGTGGGCTGGGAGGAGGCCCTCTGTGGAAGAGGGGGGCCAAGGCCCTTGTGTGGGCAGGCGGACGGGCAAGCAGCAGAGGGGAGGCTACTCTGATCTGGTCCGGATCCTACCAAAGACCCCTCTTGGATCTCCTGGGTCTTTGGAGGAGATGGGGAGCAAGTCAGGGGCTGTAGGCAGGGAACTATTTGGTGACTGAGCATAAGACTACCCAAGCTACAATGTGTGTGTGTGTGGGGGGGGGGTGCTGCTCTGATCCTGGGCTCTCCAGGTCCTACTGGGCCCCTGACAGCCACCACATCAGCACATTTTCTGGAAGCTTCCAGTGTGCCAGTGAACTCAGGGAAGGCAGAAATGTTGATAGCACCCAGCTGCCCCCCTACTGCTCTCTTCCATGCCAGCCTATGTCTGAGGCCCCAGAGTGGCAGAGCTTGCCCGTTGTGGCTATGGGGATGAACTCTGGGGACAGTCCTGTGAGGAACAGTTCACCCAGAGCCAGGAGAGGCCCCTGGGCAGAAGGGAGGGGGTGCTGTAGTGGGCTTGGCAGCCAGGGTCCAGTGGCTGGCTGACTGGCCGGCCCAGTGCAGCAGGAAGCAGTGACCACTGCCCCCAGGCTTCACTGATAAGGAGCGCTGGTCCTCAGCACTGCCTGGCCCTGTTTCCCAGCCGCAGGGAGCCTCGAAGAGTGGAGGCTGCCCCTGCCCCGATGGTACCACGCTCCTACTCCCCACACCTGTGCAAACATCCGCCGACAGCCGGGAACACGGTCCCTTTGTGCAGCCTTGGCACCAGAAGCTGTGTGTTGTCAGCTGCAGCCATGCCCGGCTCCACACGCCTGCCACCATTGTCCCTGCTGGGCATGTACCCCAGTCGCCCTGCCCACCTCCCCACCTCACCTTCAGTATCACTAGGGTTTGTTCACCCAGCACAGTAATTCAAGGTGTCCCCCTGGCCCCCACAAACACCGCCCCCATACCAGACCATACAGAGTCTTTTTTATACTAATGTTACTCGTAAACCCATGACTATTTCAGAGACAGTAGTGGCCTAAACAGCCAGTTCAACCAACAGTCCACCTTTCAATCACAATTGTCCCTGCTTCCACGCAATGGGAAGCCTCGTTGTAAGTGGGTTATCATGACATCTGTGACCGGAGCGCATTGAAAGGTTCAGAAAATGAGCTGGCAGAATGTTTCGACTTGTAGGTAAACCGATATAGCTCATCTGAGCTTTCAAAAAGTGTTTTTTTTTGTTGTTATTATAACTAACTACAGGCATACATTTCTTGCTGAAACACAGCACCAACATTTTATAGATGGTCCTTCAGGTATCACCCCCCCCCCGACATTGTGACCCCCCCAGACTCCTCCAGTGACATCACTGTGTCCCACCCAGCCACCCTGCAGTTGTCCAGGGACATGGCTGAGGCTCAAGTTCAGGCTGTGTTTCTGCCACTTCCAGGACAAACACAGCTCAGTATCTAAAGACAGGACAGCTGGGGTGGGGCATCTTCAGACCAATGGAACAATTTGTACCCATGTCCCTAGCAGCTGTATGATCAGTTTCTATGTCCGAGCCTGTCTGTGATCCCCTTGGGGGAAGCGGTGGGTCTATGTGATGGGCAGGGCTCTGAGGGACGCCCCACAGCAGGGTCATTCTGACCCCCACCCTGGTCTCTGTGCCCCTGCGGCCTTAAGGCACAGGACTGGGGACCAGCCGGGAGCAGAGCCCTCTTCTCTAGGGTGGGTGGGGTGTATTTTCCCTGGGGGTTGGGGGGCAGCCCACACTGAAGCTGTGTCTGCCATATATATATATATATATAGCCTTGTGTGTTTCCCTGGGGGTTGGGGGGCAGCCCACACTGAAGCTGTGTCTGCCTCTGTGTGATAGTGGTCTTGCCACCCCACCCCACCCCCATTGGGTAGGTGACCTCTCAGGTGGCCCAGATTCTGCATGGGTGCCCAGCATTTGCCTGCAAAGCAGTGACTGTCCCGTGGTCAGTCACTGCCCCGTCCCCCCAGATGAGAGGTTCCTTCAGACTGTGAGTTCTAGCCTCTGCCTCTTACTGGGGGGCTTTGGGCACAGCCTCCACGGTCAGGCTCTGAAGGCTGAGGGTCCACACACTAAGTCAGTGGGCATTGGGTAGGAGGCCTGAGCCACATGTGAAATCTTAAGGTTGGTCCCTGAGCACAGTGCTGGGAGTCTGGCCGCCAGAGGGGGTGTGTGAGAGAGAATTGTGTGTGCATGAGTGTGTTGTGTGAGCATGTGAGGGGATGTGTGTAAATGTGTGTACGTCTGCGAGAGTTGTGTGGGAATGAGAAAGTGTGTGTGTGGCGTTGTGTGTGCGTATGTATGTACGTGTGCCCGAGAGTGTCGGAGTGTGCGTAAGTGTGTGAGAAGGTGAGAGTGTGTGTGGGTGTGAGACGGAGTGTGTGTATCTGAATGTAGGTTTCAGACTCTTGGCCGTTGGGACAAAAGGCGTTTGTTGGTGTGAGGATGTGAGCGGGGAAACTACTTCACAAATGCCGGCTGCTCTGTGCACGCCGGGATGGCTGAGATGAGGCCTCTGTTCCGTTCTCACCTCCCACCTAAGTGCAGTGCTTGAGGGGACAGGGCCGGAAGCCCCTCTCTCTATTAAACCCCTCCTAGCTGAAGGCAAGTAGATCTGATAGCGTAGTGGTTACGAATTGGGCTGCGAACTGCAAGGTCAGCAATTCGAAACTACCAGCTGTTCGGCGGGAGAAAGATGAGGCTTTCTGCTCCCGTAAAGATTTACAGCCTCGGAAACCTTGTACAGGGTCGCTGTGGGTCAGAACCGACTCCATGGCACATAACAACAACAGCAACAACAGCCGAAGGAGGCTCTGGAAGGTTCTGTCCTCCCGGCCGTACTGCCTTCTGATCGATGGGGGCTACGTTGTCCAGATATCCACACTCAGCCCCACCTCTGCTCAGTGGTTGGGAAAACCTAGACCCCTGGGCCAGGCCCCCACCCCTCCTGGGAGTGTTATATCACCAAAGATGAAGGACCACTGGGGATGAGCTGAGAGCCCCCAGAGGAGGGCATTTAAAGCAGGGTTTTGTAGGATGAGCAGGAGCCTCAGCGACATTTCCCTGAGCTGCTACTACCCATGTGATGCTGCAGATGGTGCCTCTCGGGCCCGTTCCTCTAGTTGACTCCTCCATGTTCCAGCCTGCTCCCCTTTCCACCCATAGCAGATCCCCTCCTTCCTGGGGGAGACCCAGGTGAGCAGCAGAGATGGCAAGGAGGAGAACACAACCTTGAGCTTTTGAAGGGACACTCAGGGCAGGGAAATGCTGGCATGTAAGCGCTCGGAGGGCAGGGCAGTGAGTAACTGCCCCTCACTTAACCTTTGTGGTCAGCACCCACCCTAGCGTGGATTCAGGTGTGAGGCTAATTGGGGGCCCCACTCAGGCCAGTCTAGGCTGCTTCCTATGAAGTGGACAGATGAACAGTGGACGAGCCGGCCCTTCTCCAGCCCGCCTGCACTCAGAGCCTCTTGGGGCTGTGAGGCCACAGCCTGGGACTTGCTCCCCCTTTGAAGAAGCCCCGCCCCATGCACACTTACCCCCCTAAGGCAGACAGCTGTGGACCAGGCCTCACATGTGGGGTGCAGGCCCCTACAGGGAGGACAGCCCCCAGATAAGAAGCCCTTATCTGAGACTACCGTAGTGGGGCCTGATCACCTTGTGGGCATGTGTGGGCAGGCATGTCCGTGAGAACTGGCTGGGATGTAGGCACTGCCCTGACGGAGCAGCTAAGACATGTGTGGTGCTCCCGTCCGCATGAGGCATGTACCCACACACCCATAGCCTGGGTGACCCTTTCATGGGCCTGGTGGTCACTGGCTCTGAGGCAGCTGGGTGGACGTGAGGAGGCATGCGGGTGTTTGAAGTGCAGTGATGTTGTGGGACCCACTCCGTGCCATCAGGTGGAGGGGGGCTGTTTGGGTTTGAAGTTGAGTTCTAGTCAGTGCCGGCACTGTGCAGTATGCCCACGTGCTCTGCAGTGTGACTCAATTTCCCTGCGCCACGCCTCTGGTCCAGGCCTTTCCAGCACCCTGTGTGCCTGCCCTGGCTGCGCGTCCCTCTGTTTTCCCACAATCCACCTGGGAACCATTGGAGGTCTCCTGAGCAGCCTCAGCAGGCGTATCTATTCAGTGCCCCCACCACACACACACACACACTCATGCTGGAGTCTGGGGGCAGAGACACCAGCGGATGGTTCTGACTTGACCCTCACCAGGGATCTCAGAACACTGACACTGGGGGTACCTGGGCTCCACTGGCATTTGACCATGGTGGTCTGGGCCAAGCAGTCTGGACCTAGCATGGGACTGTGAGTGAGTGAGCCCCCAGAACACCCAGCAGGCAGCTCAGGCTGCGGTTGGCAGAGCTGGGTGGGCTCCACCCCTACGGTGTCACCTCACTCTCCCAGTGCCCCGGGGAGCAAGCCTAAGATGAGAGTGGGAGGCATCCTGGGGGGTGGCCCCTCACCCCATTGTCCCAAAGCAGGCCCTGGACGGATGGCCGGCTCCCCCGCCGAGAAGCAGGGGCTGGGCTGCATCGTGTTCTCTGGGAATAAAGAAGAGTGGAACATCTGGAGCCCCGGGTGTTGTCAGGAAGTGGCATGTCATCCCCAGCCCTCCCTTTGTCGGCGTCCTCACTGGGAGCGATGCTGGTGGCCTGGGTGCTCTCCCCACGGTCGAGGCCACCATGATGCCACACCACCTCCATCATCACAGGTCCCATCCCCCCCCCCCGCCCCCATGGACTCAGTGGACTCTGTACAGAATAGAGAGGGTCTGAGACCCAGACAAGCTTCCTCCTGCCCACGGACCTCTGCCAAAGGCCATCTTAGCCCACAGACCTGACCCCGACCTCCCTGGGTCTGGGTGGGCTTTCGGGCCTCGGTTGCTAACCACCACTCCTCTCCCACAGGTCACGGTCACCACCATTGGCTACGGGGACAAGGTGCCCCAGACGTGGATTGGCAAGACCATTGCCTCCTGCTTCTCCGTCTTTGCCATCTCCTTCTTTGCACTCCCTGCGGTAGGTGCAGGGGGCCTCGAGGCTGTGTCCACCCACTTTCTGGCCTGCCTGGGCCCTGGGGGTGCGGGGACCATCCAGGGCCCCTCCCTGTGCGCAGACCCACCTGCAGAGATGCCTTCTCCCTGATAGGCCACCTCTCTTACAACCTGCTGCTCACTGGGGACCTTGGGAGACACACATGTCATGCTCATATATATATATAGCCTTGTGTGGTGTGCATGCATGGCTTATGTAAGTGTACTGACACCTGTGTAATGCATGCCCTGTGCACACAGCACACACGTCATGTATATGCATATAGAATGCATTCTGTGTGTGTATAGCATGTGGTGTGTATAGCAATGTATTATACGCACATGCCTGTGTATGCAGATATGTATGCTGTGTGCATACAGCACATGTGTGTGCACATGTGTCACATATATGCATATAGCATTGTGTTGTGAATACACATTGCATGTGTATAGCTTTGTGCATGCACATTTACGTTGTGTACGCACATTTATAATGTATGGTGTGTGTACACAGCACATGCATGTGAATAGTGTGTCGTGCATGTTGACATCATGTTGCATGTATGTATGGTGTGTGGTGTGTGGTACATGTATGTGTACATTAATGTGAACAGTGCGTCATGTTATGAATCTAGCATATGGTGTATGTATACGTACTGTGTGGTGTGTGTTACATGCACATAAACATGCATGTGTGTACATACAGACTTGTCTATAATGCATGTCATGTGCTTACAGTACCCTATACAGTGTACCATGTATATGCATATAGCATGTGTGTTGTTTGTACACATAGTGGGTGGTGTGTTATGTATACAGTGTGTATGTGTACATGTGTGCCCATGCACATTTGCATATAGTGTGTATTATGTACACAGTGTGTATAGGTATATCGTGTATATGTGTCTTTGCATGCATTACACAGAGACATGCTTATAATGCATGCGCATGTGTGCAGTATGCCATTATATACATATAGTGCTGTGTTGTGTATACACATAGTGTGTGACGTGTATACATAATGTGTGGTTTGTGTATGTATGGCATGTATGCATGTGCACACACCATATGTAGCATGTGTGTGTGTGCATGCCTGCACCCACGTGCACATGTATATTGCCCCCCCACACACATGTTGCATCTGTCCAGTGTAGAATATGTGTTCTGCATCAATATATGTGCAAAACGGACATGTGTGTGATATGTGCCACATGTATGGGACATGTGTGTGCATGTGCTGTCATGTACACACATGGAACTTTGTGTTGTGTGTTTGCCTGCTGTGTGGTGCATAGTGCATATAGTGGCACACAGCATATGTATATGTTCATGTGTGTCCTGTGCATATAGTGTTGTGTGTGCAATACAGATCTCTGTGTGTATAATGCATGTACATGTGTGTACCATGTGCTGTGTGCTACATATGCATGTCAATGTGCACATGTTGTAAAATAAGAGCACAGCACGTGATGTGTGCATGGCTTGACTCCCTCTGTGGATGGGTCCTGTCTGCTGAGCCAGCACCTCCTGTCCCATCCACCAGCCTTGGATGAGGATGCTCTCCTAAGCAGGTGGTGTGCTACTGCCTAGGCACCTGTGTACGGTCACCTAGCTATCCCTGGGAGTGGGTCAAAAGGCCAGGTCCCTCCTGGGAACAGGTTCTCACTGGGTATGTCTTGTGGCTGGCTTGTACCCAAGCTGTGGGACCTCCCATGTGGGTATCCTGGACCCCGCTCTATCTCCCAGCCCCCAAATCCTATGGGTAAGTGACCTGAGTGGACCAAGCTTTGTTGGTCCCCACAGGGCATCCTCGGCTCTGGGTTTGCCCTGAAAGTCCAGCAGAAGCAGCGGCAGAAACACTTCAACCGGCAGATCCCAGCAGCTGCCTCACTCATTCAGGTGGGCCACCCCTCGGAATGTTCCCCCCACATGATGGGTCCTCCCCATGGACTGTCCTCCCGTGTGATGGGTCCTCCCCGTGGACTGTCCCCCTACATGATGGGTCCTCCCCGTGGACTGTCCTCCCATGTGATGGGTCCTCCCCATTGACTGTCCTCCCATGTGATGGGTCCTCCCTGTGGACTGTCCCCCCACATGATGGGTCCTCCCCGTGGACTGTCCTCCCATGTGACGGGTCCTCCTCTTGTACTGTCCTCCTGTGTGACGGGTCCTCCCATGACTGTCCTCCCATGTGATGGGTCCTCCCCTGGACTGTCCCCCCATGTGATGGGTCCTCCCCATGGACTGCCCTCCTGTGTGACGGGTCCTCCCCATGACTGCCCCCCAGTGTGACGGGTCCTCCCTGTGACTGCCCCTCTGTATATGAGCCCTTGTGCCCACTGGGTCAGAAGCAGGCCAGCATCAGCAGGTGGGTGGGCAGCTCTATGCTGGTTCCTGGACTCTGGGATGTAGAAGGACCAGGTGGGTGTCAGACATACCAACCAGTCTGAATCTCTGCTTGTGGGGAAGTGCATAAAAGGGGTCCCATTTAGGGTACAGCTTGTGGCCCTCCCCTTCCCACCTGGCTCCATGTGGGGAGAGTGGGGATGGGCAGTGGTGAGGGGCCCAGAGCACAGGCAGCAGACTGAGCATGTGAGTGAGGAGGGGCCGAGGAGGAGCCATGGGACCTTGAGGTTCCTGCCACTCCCCAACATGAGCTGCAGATGCTCTGTCCCCCTGGGGGGCGGCGGCTGGCATGTGGTGTCCATGCTGTCCTGCCAGGAGGGGGCACAGATAGGGCTCCCCCCTACACCTGGATATTGATGCCCCCCCTTTGTCCAATTCCAGACAGCATGGAGGTGCTATGCAGCCGAGAACCGCGACTCCTCTACCTGGAAGATCTACGTGCGGAAGCCCACCCGTAGCCACATGCTGCTCTCCCCCAGCCCCAAGCCCAAGAAATCCGTCATGGTGTGTGCCCACCTCAGGCAGCAGGGTGGGCTTGACCCCGGCCACATGTCTGCTGTTGTCTGGGTGGTGGCTTCCTGCGTGGGGATTGGGGTAATGCAATGCTCCAAGGTCCAGAGCTAGGACACGACAGTTTGGCTGGAGCGCAGCAAAGTATGGGGGCCCCACACCCTCCTCAGAGGAGACTTGGGTTCCCCGTGGCCCAAAGAACCACTTTTCCCTGTGCTGGACACTTGCCCTTCCCATGCTCTGGTCCCCACCTTGCCCTCTCCTTCCACCTGTGGCCCCGCACACACACATACACACCCCACCGGCACTTTATACTCCAGGGTTGGGAAAGATAGAGTGCCAGGCCAGGATGCCAAGAGGCCCGCCTGTCATCTGCTTCCAGGTCAAGAAGAAGAAGTTCAAAGTGGACCGGGACAATGGGGTGAGCCCCAGCGGGGAGAAGACCCTCACCATCCCGCACATCACCTGTGACCCAGCCACTGAAGAGCGCAAAACTGACCACGTGTCCCTGGACAGCTACGACCCTCCTGGTGAGCAACCCCCCGCATGGGATAAGAGGCACCAGTCTGGATTCTCCTCCCACCTGGGCCACCATCCTTGATGGGTGGAAGGAGACCATGTGCTGGGCTCCAACCCCCGAGAGTGTAAAGGGCCCCTGCTGCTCACTGTGTTTCTGGGGGCTGGCCGGTGGTCCCCAGTGACAACGCTCTTTAGTTCTCTGGAAGTCCCCTCTATGCACCGTCCAGGCTTCCTCTCCTGTTGGCCTGCAAGCGCTAGCTGAAATCACTTCCTGCTACCAGGACTAGGGTGCCCTCCTGGTCTTTCCAGGGAAAAGTGCAGCAAACCCTGTCTCCAACCGAGGTCCCACCTTGGCTTGGCACCAGCCCTTCTCACACCCCTCCATCCATGGCCAGGCCTGCTTCCACTGAGGGGTGAAGAAAGGCAGCAGTCTGTGTTTGGGTTCAAAGACTGCTTTCTGGGGAGTTGACTCTGAATCGTGGTGACTTTGCGTGTGTCAGAGTGGAACAGAGCTCTTCGGGGTTTGTGACAGCTAACTTTTCAGAAGTAATACCCAGGTCTTTTTTTCTGGGGGTGTTCACTATTGGGGCTCCCTGCTAAGACAGTGCTGGAGGTCGTCGTGTGCAGAACCCCTAACTGCCGACACAGCCCATCTGGATTAGAGGGGCTGCAGTTACTGCCGCGGGCAGTCAGTAGAGTGGCGTCTTGAAGGATGGAGCAGCTTGGGCTTAGGCTGAAGCTGAGGCATTTTCTTTGAGAATGTGAGCCAGGGTTGCCCTCTGCTTTGTTCAGAGGGTCGGTGAAAAAGAGGAAGACCCTTAGCGATTTGCCAGTGTCCAGAAAGATGGCACCCTCTCTTTGCGAAGGCAGTAGAAGCAGAGACCCTGGATGTGGACCCCCACCCCAGGGCCCCACCAGCTGTTCCAGCCACAGGTCTAAATGATCCTGGTCAATTGTTCACCTGCATTCCCAACCCCGGGCCTCTGGGGGTAACAAGGGTGGGCAAGTGAGCTAGAGAACTCCAACATCCCACCGCTGATTGCAGAGTAGAACTGTTAACTTAGGCTTCCCAAGACTCAAGTTTTACGGAAACAGGCAGCTCCCACTTTCTGTCAGGGATCAGCTGGTGGGTTTGAACTATTGGCCTTTTGGTTAGCAGCCCAACGCTTAACTCACGGTACTACCAGGGATCTTTAGAGTAAAAAGTTGTTAAGTGCCGTCATGTTGGTTCCAACTCTTTGTGACCCTGGATAGGGTTTCCAAGGAGCGGCTGGTGAGTTTGAACTGCCGACCTTGCAGCTAGCCGCCCAGTGCTGATCCTACAGCCTGAGAAGAGAGATTCAGAATTTTCATTTAGTTTTCCACATGAAGCATTTAAGACAAATAACAAAGTATAGAGAATGACATGTCCCCTGGACTCTGAACACAGGTCAAATGTATGGAAAGGCCCCTAACCTGTTTGTCCCACTCATTGCGTGTGCTCTTGTGCTGCATGTGATGACAGAGCCTAACTGTTCCCTACACGGTTGTGACCCTGACCCACATGGAATAGTAGCCGGGCATCTTGGTCTGCACACTGACTCCTATGGCCCCGTGAGGCTAATCGCCTTCTTCCAGATTCCAGGTGATGCATTCAGATCCTGAGTTTATCCTACCGGAATCTAGAGAAGAGCTTGGTGTGCCCTAACTCTTACCACCAGTCCTGTTTTGTGGCTCATTACTACCCAGGCGTTTGGTTTTCCCTTTTTGAAAAAGCTGTGAGTGAGTCCTTGTCATGGTGACCGTTGTGTGCAGTCAAGATTGCTTCTCTCCACCCCCAGATTTGAAACCTTTCTGTTGCATGCTTCCATTTTGTTCCGCTCTCATTTCTTGGGATTAACTTTCCTTCTTCCTGAAGTCTGCACTTCCTTCCATGAGTTCTTTTGACATGAGCTCTTGGTTGTCTTGAATTTTTGTTGTTTCTTTGTTCTTGAATGATGGTTTAGTTGGGGGAAAAGTTATAAGTCGATATATTTGTTTTCTCTCAAAATTTCTGTAGATAATACTACCAAGGTCGTCTGGCTTCCTTGGACTGTCAGGCAAACTGACCTTCCTTTGTAGGTGATTTTCCTGCTCTAGCGACGTTCATTACCTTCTCTTTGACTTTGGTGTTTGGCAGTTTCAGTACAGTGTGTCTAAGGTAGTAGATTTCTCTTCTTTTTATAAAAGTTTTCATCTTTAATGAAATGACTTTGGAAAGAACATACATTTCCATGACACCAACACTATAGTTTTCGGAGTCACAGTAAAGATACACAGAATTATATCCACTCCATAATTAATATGAATGCCAGCATCTCCAGCAGTAAATTTTGTTACATAGCAAATAAAATCAAGAAAGCAAACAACAAACAAAAGAGACGCATAGCTTCAGACAAGGCAAATCCCAGGATAGCATATGAGAACAGCTGCTGCTTCAGAAAAGGGTTTCTGGCATAGCCAATGATGAGGCTGCCAAAGACTGTTCCAATACCGGCACCAGGATCAGCCACTCCGACAGTTGCAGCACCTGTACCAATAACTTGGGCGGCAGCATCAATGTCTCTGCATTGTCTCTGCATTGGTCTGAAACACCCTTTGAATTAGTGGAGACATACCATTCTGGGCCCCATTAAACACTCCTGAGCCCTCTGCAGTGCAAACTTCTGGTCGAGAGAACACCGATGCAGAAATTGGTCTGTAAGCAACTCTGGATCCAGCTCGGATCAGAATGGGGGTGTAGATGAGCTTGGCGCAGGCGAACATTTTATATTCTTCAGGGAGGTGCGGCTGCAGGACTTGGGTGCCAGGTGGCGTGGGCTCCTCTACTGCTTCCTCACTTCCTTGGTGGCAGCAACGGTGGCGACAGAGGTCAAAAGACCAGATTTCTTTTCTTAAAACCTTACTTTGTTGTATCATGAATCTGAGGGCTTACGTCTTTCATCCAGTGTCAAAACTCGGCACCAGTATTTCATCATAGATTGCCTTCTTTAACCATTTTGATTCTTCCCAATATGCCTGTGTGGCTGCCTCAGTCGGCTTGTCCTGTGTGTCTTTCACACCGTTCACATGGAACTCTGTCTATTTCACCCTTAGCAATTTCTTGCAGTTCACCAACATCAAGGCCTGTCTCTGAGTGGTTATGGGTATAGGGATGTGGCAGCAGGGCAGGAGAAGTTGGATCCAGGCTCCTTGGGCGGCTTTGAGCTCCTGACCCTCCACTGAGTCTTTCTGCCCCGGAAGCATCAGTTTTTGTCCCTTTTGTGCTAACATTTCTGTAAGCACCTCATTTCCTTCAGCTTCTGCCCAGTCGGTTCTGTATGACCAGGAAGCAGGTTAGTGTTGGTGTCCACGTGTGGCCCAGGTGGGTTCCAGCCCTGTTCCATTCCCTCTGAGCTACTGTCGTGAAGTCACACCAAGACCCCAGAAAGCCTGGTCCTCCCTCATCTTTCTAGCTCTGCCTGCGTTACCATGGGCGCTCTCTCCATCCTCACCACAGAGTGTTTCATTCATTTCCGTGGGGTCACTTTGTCCAGAACCCACTCCCACCCCTCCACTGCCCATTTCTTCATGCTGGGAAGATGCCCACTCTCAAATTTCAAGTGCATTTTTTCCTGATCAGAAGAGTGGTACATGCTCATTACAGTGCATATGAAAAATACAGATGAGGATAATGAAGAACAATCACCTATTGTTTTACCAGGCAGAGACAACAGCTGTTGGGATTTTGACATATGTCCTGTAGCTCTGATGAACACACACATCTGAGTTGGTTCCACACAGATGATTCCTTTCGCGTTCCGCTTTTTTTTCCACTTGTAACGTGATCATTACGGAATATCACTTAAAATTCTTTTGAGAAGGACATTTTGTTGTGTTTGGACAAATATTTCATGGTCTTGATTTATTGCATTAGAATCTGCAGAGCGATTTGGAGAGCCAGCTAGAATATACCATGGAGTAGGCTTTCCTGATGCGTTTCTGAGAAAGAAGGGCGGAAAGGGAAGATCAGAGTGGGGGGGAAAAAATGAAATAGAAAGAGTGAAAAGAAAAACAAGTTCTGAAAATCAATCAATCCATCAATGAAACCAAACACTGGTTTTTTTTTTGACTTTTGGAAAATGGAGGTAGAATTCAAAAGCTGATTTATGAGATCAATAAAATTAACAAAGCTCTCCCCAGACAGGCCAGAGAAGAGACACCTGTTGCCTGTGTCAGGAACGAGGAATGTGAAACCAGGGAAGACAGCACAGGTGTTTGGATGTTCCCAATAAATTCAACAGCTTAGAAGCTCGTGAGAGGCACGAATCTGTTGCAGAGCTAGCTAACCTAAATAGCCCTGTAACTATTAGTGGAATTGAAGTTGTTGTTAAGAACATTTTCTCCAATAAACACCCCAGGACCTTATGATTTCCCTGGTGAATTCTACCGAACATTTAAGGGGGAAACAAAATCCAGACATCTTCCCCCTAAAAAATGAAAAGGAGGGACTACTTCCAAACCATTCTGAAGTTAGTAGCATTGTCTGAATACAAAAATCCAACAAAGACAATGTAAGAAAACAGTAGTGTCCCTCATGAACCTAGGTGCAAACTGGTTGTAAATCTAACTCAGGAACATAATTCAGAATAATAACACATTAGGACTAAGTGGGGTTCGGGAATACAAAGTTGGATTAGCGTGTTTTTTTTTTTTAAAGTCAATGTAATGAATGATATTAACACAGTAACAGAAAGAATGAAGAAAAAGCACTTGAAAACATCCAAGAACCATAAGTTATGGACGCTTAAATTCAGAAAACTGGCCATAACCAAATGTTGACAGTGCTGTTGAGGAACTGGCCCACTCATACCGGACTGGTAGGAATGTAAAATGGCATACCCACTTTGGAAAACAGTTAGACAGTATCTTCTAATGCTAAATCCACACCTAATGTATTATCTGGTTACTCTGTTCATAGGAGAAACGAGAGCCTACTCGTATCAAGACTAGG